GTTGAGGTTGCAATGCACTGTGATGGTGCCACCTTCCTCCAGCCTGGGCGACAGAGTGACACTTTGTCTCAAAAAAAAAAAAAAAAAAAAAAAAAAAAGGAAAGTTATTAGTTACATTCCCCTAAGAATGGAATGGGATCTTTTAAGAGGCTACTGTTCTCCAAGGAAAGAAAAAATTGTTGGCATGAATTTTAAGTTAACCAAATTATATTTATTCATATGAGATCTGCTTTGCTTTTGTTTTCCAGGGACCTGAAGCTCGATAACATCCTGTTAGACAAAGATGGACACATCAAGATCGCGGATTTTGGAATGTGCAAGGAGAACATGCTAGGAGATGCCAAGACGAATACCTTCTGCGGGACACCCGACTACATCGCCCCGGAGGTAGGAACGCAGCGGCAGGCTGCTCCCACCTCGGCATGCCGCGGCTACACACCATTGCTTCTTCCGCCCCTGATCTCGGCTCACTGCAACCTCCACCTTCCAGGTTCAAAAGATTCTCGTGCCTCAGCCTCCTGAGTAGCCAGGAATACAGGTGTCTCCCACCACGTCCAACTAATTTTTTTGTATTTTTAGTAGAAATGGGGTTTCACCATGTCAGCCAGGTTGGTCTTGAACTCCTGACCTCAAGTGATCTGCTCACCTCAGCCTCCCAAAGTGCTGGGATTACAATGTGAGCCACTAAGCCCAGCCTGTAAGAGTTTTTTTTTTTTTTTTTTTTTTTTTTTTTGAGATGGAGTCTCACTCTGTCACCAGGCTGGAGTGCTGCAGTGGTGCCATCTCCGCCTCCTGGGTTCAAACAATTCTTCTGCCTCAGCCTCCCAAGTAGCCGGGACTACAGGTGCAAGCCACCACGCCCAGCTAATTTTTGCATTTTTAGCAGAGACGGGGTTTCACCATGTTGGCCAGGATGGTCTCGATCTTTTGACCTCATGATCTGTGCACCACAGCCTGTATATAGCCATGAGCCACCAAGCCCGGTCTTGGTGTTCTAAGAGTTCTTTATACATGGATGAGTTAATAGTCTTCAGCTGTTCTTACCACATTCTGATATCATACATGCTTCCCTGCACCACTAGACGGGAAGCTCCTTAAGAGCAAGTTCCTGTCGTTGCCAAAGGAGTTGTAGCCACCTGAGTCCTAGAACTATGTAGGTTTGCCCTGTGGTTGGGTGATAAGTAATTTTAATTTAACCTGGGCATCTGTTCTATGAGGAATGCTGGCTTTTAGCTTACATGGCATTGTTGAACTCACAGAATGAGGCTCATTGACTAAGTAACTTTCTGATCATGGAAATCTATGTTTCATTCAGGTTAGCACAGATACAGGTATTGATGCCATAAAGCATTTTTCATTTGAAGTGAAGCCAAAGCTCATCAAAGCACGAGTGAAAGGGACCTGAGAGGAGATACTCAACTCAATTAGTGAATTCCCCTTCATCGTAATTTTGAGATATGCCCACATGTGCTCTGCTCAGAGCACCCTCACTGCCATCACTGGCAATGGTCTCCTTTGTCACTCCCTGAGCCCCACCTGAGCCACCTCAACTTCTTTCCTCTTCACCTCACAGCACCTTGGGGTGACTGCCTTACTCTGATGCACTTCTGTCTACGGATGTTGGCTGCCGGGCCTTTTCCACAGCGAACCTTCCTTCCCGATTTCCGTCTGCTTCTTGCAGAATCCGGCCTCCACAACTTGCTTCTCTCCCATGTGCTTATCTCCACGTGATTCAGTGCTTGGGCCGCTTCTCTTCTTACTTCACATCCTCCATGGGTGACTGTGGTTTTCGCTCTGAAGTGAATGCGGCCCCCCTGCACTTCTTCCTGCCGCAGACCATTCGTCCATTTTCCTGCTTGAGACCTCCAAGTAAATGCATGAGTCCTTCAAAGACAGCAGGTCCAAAACTCACGCTGTTGAACTTGCTTCCTAATTCCCTCTTTCCTTCTTTTTCTTCCTTGGTGAACTCTGTGTCATCCATTCAGCCTTCTAGAGAGAAAACTAGGAATTAGCCAAATTTCTGCCTTCTTTCTTATCCCTCAAATCCACCCAAACACCAAGACCTTCTAAAATTGGACCTCTCCTGTCCATTCGCTCCTTTAAACTTGTGACTGAATTCAGACTCTCCCTTGATTCCTTCTTCAAGGTCAAACAAGTCCTCTTCATTCAGCTCCCCCCAGCTCTCCAGGTCCTCCCCGCCCTTACTGCTGTTACCCTGGTGAAGAACATGAGCATCTCTTGCCTGGCTCCTGGTGACACCCTTCCATCTGGATTTCCCCCTTATCATCCATCACCAGGGTGTGCTCTTTATATATCTTCACACTTTTTGATCAGTTAGAAAAGCATCCCCAAGATCTGTCTATTTAAATATGAATCACATTCATTGTCACCAACTACAATAGTCTGTGTTACCAAATGTGCCTAAACTAACAATACATAGTTTAAAATAACAACATTGTATTCTATTTGTTAATAGTACAAAAATATGCTTCATTAAAATAATGAGATTAAATAACTTTTTTAAAATCTTGTTTTCACACTTTAGGACTCTAGGATAGAAAGGTCTGATTTACTTATTTCCATTCTGGGTTTTGATGGCTGTCATAGCTGGAAAAGATACTTCCCAAAGATGTAATAGAAACAGACTTTACGACATGCACTAACGCAAGGCATGTCACTGACAATAGTACATTTAAGTCCATAATTAAAAGCAGTGTTTTTGATATATTTCATTTTTTAGCCAATCTTCTGTTGGCTGACAGAGCTTGCCCTGGGAGAAATAAAAACATCAGCATTGCCATTTTCTTATGTTCTTCTTAAGAAAGCATTATTTTAGTGCAGTATTATCTTCATCCAAATGTTATGTTTGCATTGCTATTGCAGTGTTACCTTCAGCCCAAGCCTCTTTGCAGATTAAGACCTTGTCATTTTGTAAAAAATTACAGCACTCAGGCAAGCGCAATGGCTCATACCTGTAATCCCAGCACTTTGAGAGGCTGAGGCGGGCGGATCACTTGAGCCCAGGAGTTCAAGATCAGCTTGGACAAGATGGCAAAACCCTGTCTCTACTAAAAATACAAAAAATAGTCAGGCGTGGTGGTAGACACCTGTAATCCCAGCACTTTGGGAGGCTGAAGCAGGTGGATCACTGAGGTCAGGAGTTCGAGACCAGCCTGGCCAACATGGTGAAACCTTGTCTCTACTAAAAATACAAAAATTAGCTGGGTGTGGTGGTGGGTACCTGTAGTCCCAGCTATATGGGAGACTGAGGCATGAGAATTGTTTGAACCCATAAGGCGGAGGTTGCACCACTGTGCTCCAGCCTGGGTGACAGAGCAAGACCCTTTCTCTCAAAAAAAAAAAAAAAATTAAACAGAACCCAAAATGATAGCACAACTTACGATGCATGGAAAATAAGTGGATAAGCCGAGTCTCCGCTAAGCTCCTTCTGAGATGCAGCTTCCCTCCTCCCCCAGGAGTCTTCACTTCCTGTTTAAGTTTCTCAGTGTGTCACTCTGGATGGTCATGAAGCCTCAATTCTTCCTCATTTTAGAATTTTTTAATGGCTGTATTACAAATGCAAATTCGGGTTTTCTTGTCACGTCTGGGATGATCGAGGCCTGGGTCGATGCACCCCCAGACGCCTCTGCTCAGCCAGGTCTCCACATTCTCCTCTGTGCTGTGCAGATTTGCCCCGGCCCAGCATCAATATCCTCAAGGAGTCCCCATTCCCAGCTGGGTGTCAGTCGCAGTCCTGAATGTAGGTCCCTAAGAACATGTGCTGCCATGTTAAAGTGCTACCTGCCTGGCCAGGCCACACTGTTCCTGCCACTGCACATCCTTGGTATACGGTCCTCCCCAGACCACAGTCACCTTCTCCCTAAAGTTGCCACTGGCTTTAGGGATAGCCAGCTGTTCCCTTTCCTGTGCAACCACAGAACCTCTGCATCCACCTGACCAATCCACTGAGCTTCTCCCCATCAGGGGCCACGGCTCATCTACCCATCAACAGCAGCAGCCATCAGCTGTTTTCCAAATAAACGACCACACTAAGTCAAACAGCCTAAAAGTTCATCTCTAAACGGGTCCTGGATTCCCCACCTCTGGGTGTCTGTTAAATAACCCTCCCTGGCTTTCCCCTTCTCTGTCTGGAAAGATCCTGCCCCTGGTCTGAGGTTTCCATCCCACCATCCACTCAGTGACATTTTCCCTCATCTCACTCATTTCCTCATTGCCCCTTTTTCCCTCAAAATCCAAACAAAACTGGAGCTGTGTTCTCCTGCCTCTACACCTTAGGGAAATGTCCACCTCTCTTGTGTGATTCAAAGTTGATGCTGCCCTGCGTGGTCTTTATGCGTGTTCCATTGCTGTCTGTCCTATGAACATGTCTGTAAGCACCTTCAAGGAGGGGACTCTGTGGCTGGGGAAAAGCCGACTAGGTGAGGCAAAAAATTAAAACCCAGGAACACATAACAGCTGGGATAGAGGCCATAGAGTCTATCTGGCAGGCACTGATAGTTCCTGTCAGGAGAACTCAAATCTCAGAAGTGCATGCATTTCAGAGCAGTGTCAGGAGCCACACAGGAAAAACAGACCTGTGCTCCCATGACTGGGGACCATCTCACTAGGCCACTCCTCCTGAGACCTAAAGCGCCTTTCAAAAGCCCCACGGCCTCCCCTCCCCCTGCCGTCTTCCTATAATTGGGGAAAAGAGAGGCTGATGTCTCTTTGGAGGTCCAAACTCATTTTGACAAATAGGAAGGCAGTTAAACAGGGAAACATTGTACTTACTTTCTTTTCTTTTTTTTTTTTTTTTTTTTCGAGATGGAGTCTTGCTCTATTGCCAGGCCAGAATACAGTGGTGCAATCTCAGTTCACTGCAACCTCCGCCTCCCAGGTTCTGCCTCAGCCTTTCAAGTAGCTGGGTCTACAAGTGCACACCACCGCACCCAGCTAATTTTTGTAATTTTATTAGAGAAAGGGTTTCACCACATTGGCCAGGATAGTCTTGATCTCTTGACCTTGACCCGCCCCCCTCAGCTTCCCAAAGTGCTGGGATTACAGGCGTGAGCCACCACACCTAGCTGGAAACGTCATACTTTCTATAGCACCCTGGACACTCAGTAAATCCAGATGGGATTGCAATGCATGGAAGCAGCTTCCTGGAGAAAGTCAGAGTTCCCTGGAAACCAAACTGGTATTGGCCCCAGAAGGTCACTGATTTCTGGGGCAGCACTTGCCCAATTGCACATCACGGTGGCAGAGCCTCGCCAGTCCAGACCCAACTTCCCAGCCCCTGAGGCTGAAGGAGCACAGATGTGGCTCGCTCTGGCACCGTATAGTGAAACCACTATTTATCTCTTGCTGCTTTCTCAGGTTTCATTGTG